ATGGCGGTGGATAGTATGTGCAGGAAAAGGGGTACGGAGTGTGGTGGGTATGATGTGCAGGGAGAGGGGTACAGAGTGTGGTGGGTATGATGTGCAGGGAGAGGGGTACGGAGTGTATGGCGGTGGATAGTATGTGCAGGGAGAGGGGTACGGAGTGTGGTGGGCAGTATGTGTAGGGAGAGGGGTATGGAGTGTGGTGGGCAGTATGTGCAGGGAGAGGAGTACGGAGTGTATGGCGGTGGGTATGATGTGCAGGGAGAGCGGTACGGAGTGTATGGCGGTGCATAGTATGTGCAGGGAGAGGGGTATGGAGTGTGGTGTGTAGAATGTGCAGGGAGAGGGGTATGGAGTGTGGTATGTAGTATGTGCAGGGAAAGGGGTGCAGAGTGTATGTTAGTGGGTAGTATGTGCACCTAGAACACTCCCCCATCCACAGCTCACCCCTCTACACCTAGAACACCCCGCCGCACCTAGGATATGTCCCCCCCCTCCACAGCTCTTACTGTTCAGCCAATCAGGTCCTCTCACTCCTTTGCACATAGAACCCCCCCCCCAGCCACTCCTCTCACCCCTCTGCAGCCCCTTCTTGTCCACAGAATCACCTCCAGTGCTGGACATTCCAAAGCCCCTCTCAGGGCCTGCATCATCTTGATACAGAAGCCTACAGGCTGTACTCAGCTGCCACCACTTGGCACACAGATGTCAGCAGAGGGAAGGGGAGATCTGTGGGCACACTGCAGAAGGAGGGTGGCAATTGCAGAACGATGCCCTGTGTCTCTCCCTGTAGCTAAAAGCCAGTGGGGGAAAGAAACCAGCATTCAGCTGCTGCAGGGAGATACACAGACACATGAGGACCAGTGGTACCCCCCTATCAGCCCTGCTGGTAGTTCGGACACTGTTTCTGCACTTCCTGATGACGATCCATTGATCGAAACCGGTCGAGATCTGCTGACGCAACTTCTGCTGACGTAATTTCCGCCCTTTGGTACGCTGGAACGCTGGGGCCATCTTGGTTCCTATTCACAGGCAGCAAGGCTGAATACACTGAGTGCCAGCTTATGGGCGGTTTGCTTGTGAGTTTTATTCTTATAATTTTCCCCCATCATTAAAGTTTTTTATGGTTTTACACTATGGGATGTTTGCTTTTGTTTCTGTTCACATGCTGAAACTTGGTTTACTGCCTGGGAGGAGAGGAGAGTTTAAAAAGGCTCTTTTGAAACTACACTATCATTTATATCCACGCTGGTCATAATCCTATTGGTTACTATCGGCCAGATCGCATGATTCCCAAGAATGAATATTGGTGCCATTCTTACCATCATCATTGGGCTAGTCCAAACCAGGTGCTTAAGACCAACCTAGAGATAGGTGGTCCATGGCTAAGGGTGAGTGCACATCCATGTGGGGCACCGATTGAGCACAGAGGAGCACCTGTCATTTTTTGCACGAAGTTCACCAATTAGTATTCCGAACCTGGGCACTTTATTTTTCTGAATTGGGACTGAATGTTACAATTATTCACTTTGTATATGTGAAGCAATATTACTCATGTATTGTCAAATTTAATGCACTTAATTTATGCGCAGTCAACATGGTATTTTGTTCTCTAACAAAACAACTCCCACATTTCGTGTTATCATTAACAAGATATATAGCTGATGCTCTGAAATGTTTGTCTGTATTACTCAGATACATGTTTACTGCATTACTATGTACTTACCTTTTTTGTGCTACTTATACTGCATTGGCTTTGGAATGTAAACCTTGTCTTCTGTCTTAGAAACTGACAGTAAAAATATATTCAACACTAAAATAAGATTGTAACAAACTACCACTCATCATTGGATGCTATTGAGTACATTTTGCTAGAGAATCTGTTTTTGCAGAGCGCATTGAAAAGTTTTCCCCCAGCAGTATGCATATTTTGACATTTTCAAAAATTGGCGCTGCAGAACATCCCCACCCTGTCCCATAATTCAATGCACGCATGATCTGGTGTTCTTCAGTATCAACTCTGAAAAACCAAGAGCTGTAACACGACTCACTGCATCACGTTATGGGTGCTTCCAAGATGCCTTACAGTTATACTTTCCAAAAGCTGATAGCGGTTATCACCTGACTCTGACAACTATTCATGTACAGGGGTGGACTGACCATTTGGAAACTCGGGCACTGCCTGAGGGCCCCGGGGTCAGTAGGGGGCCCCATGAGATGCACCTGGTACCTTTTTCATAGGCTTGTTTGAGTTTGGGCAAGGACACAGGGGCCCCATGATCCCCTATTGCCCGGGGGCCCCATGAGTTGTCAGTCTGCCCCTGTTCAGGTATCACGTCTGGTGACAGCTTTATTTAATGTCCTCACCCTTTCCAGTACCACATACCTATTTTGCATTTGCTCCCCTACCCCTCTGCTTCATATAGAAATTTAAGTGAATATTTTTTTTGTAGCTAATTAGCAGATATTGTATGTAAATCTTATTTTAGAAGTATGTCACTAATAATAATAATGAGTTTTAAGTTAAACAGATTATTTCAAATGAGATAATGTAACATGTTTTTAATTTCAAGTAATAAGGCAAAAATGTTGTTCGGTGTTCTAGTCTGAGCACATAGATAGTTCACCTGCACTGCCACCTGTGGATGAGCATATTGCATGTCATCTAACCTTCCGAAACTCAACCTGTCCCAATAGAAAACATGTATTCTTTGTAGCGATGGAGAACAAAGCAGAAGTAAAAGTGATCAATATCTATGAGCAACCTAAATTATATACAATATTGGCTGCATGGTCTGCATAAAAGGCCCTATAGTCAAACATTTTTCCAGCATTCTAACCCAAATCAGGACAGACCTAATCTGTGTTTCTGTTTTAAAATTAACATTTTTTTAAATGTATTTATAAAACATTTAATGTCTGAAGATATGGCAGATTTTTAATGTATCAATTTCAAAATCTGATATCTGTTATCAATATCAACACATCAGTACTATTCATCTGACTGTACAGCTGACACGTACTTCCAATTTGAAACCTTAATTCTACACATTAATATGTACTGACGGACACAAATAACAGTATATTACCTTCTCTCCTGGGCAAGGTGAAGGACTGCAGTTCAGTAGATTAGGGCAAGGTAGATTTTGCAAGAGTAGTTTTATATTCACCACACCCCCGTTTTTATAGTTCTAGAGTTATTAGCATAATCCTCCCATATGCACATTTCCTAAGAATCATAAAACATTTTTTTTATCTACAGATACAAAGCCTAATGACATAAGTACTGAGCTTATTCTTTGTAATATTCCGTTTTATATCTTTTAGTGATAGAACTCCATCAAGTACAAAAATGCTATTGGAAAATTTGTCACAAGCAAGAATATACAGGTGAAACTCGAAAAATTAGAATATTGTGTAAAAGTTCATTTATTTCAGTAATGCAACTTAAAAGGTGAAACTAATATATGAGAGAGACTCATTACATGCAAAGCAAGATAGTTCAAGCCGTGATTTGTCATAATTGTGATGATTATGGCTTACAGCTCATGAAAACCCCAAATCCACAATCTCAGAAAATTAGAATATTACATGCAATCAATAAAACAAGGATTGTACATAGAACAATATCAGACCTCTGAAAAGTATAAGCATGCATATGTACTCAGTACTTGGTTTGGGTCCCTTTTGCAGCAATTACTGCCTCAATGCGGGTGGTATGGAAGCTATCAGCCTGTGGCACTGCTGAGGTGTTATGGAAGACCAGCTGTCTTCAGCTCTTCTGCATTGTTCGGTATCACATATACAATTATATCTAGCACTATACAGGCCTAAAGGCAGTAAATACAAAGCTAAAGTGTACCAGAGCAAGTGAACAAAACTGTAAAGCAACATATGCAGCCATCATCACTACTTTCCAACTGCTGTTGATACTTTCCCATCTAATGCATCCATTTCTGCAGTAATACAGAGTCTGAACCAGGTTTCTGATATTATTTGCCTGTCCTGTCTCTAATGGTATCCTTGCTAGTACATCATATATAGTTTATGAATTCTAATGGCAAGCCAGTGCCATCAGGCTTTAGTGTCATTCATACAACACACCTTTTTCCATTACCACAGATCCAGGTTTATCTCAGACCATCTACCATGTTTGTTCTGTATGTCATTATTGTGTTGAGTAGGGAAACATTTTTTGGGCATTCACTGCAATTGCACCCTTTTAAATAAAGAACAGGAAATTTGGGGAGTAGGGGTGTAGATTGGAATACAGTGGGTCACCATTGACCATTTCATTATGTAATTTTCTATAATGATATTTCTGCTTTTCATGGTGGATGTACAGCTCCACGTGACTGGTGGTCACTGATACCTTTAGCTGAGGGCCTCTGTTCATCCAAGTGTGAATCAAATACCTATTATATGTTATGCACTGGTCTTATGGGAGGTCATCAATATCACCAACTGGTAAATGCTGTCAGCCTTCTATTTCATTGTTTTTTTTTTTTAATTCTACGTACTAAAATGGTCATATATACATAATGTGTTCTGGGCCTTTTTAGCTCTATTTTACACATTTATACTTTGTCTCCCTGAAGAAGCGGGCTTTGTCCTGTGAAACGCGTTTGAGTAATGAACAAAGTATCCACTTGTACTTAAATGCTGGAGCAATTAACAGAGTATTTTATTGGCACCTAAGATGTCAAGGAATCATCCTAAGAGTATAATTATTTCAATCTGTGATTTATTGTCAGTAAGCTACATTTTGTAGTACTGTCTGTCCAACACATCTATGTATCCTATTGTCAGGCCCCACCAATATGGTGGTTTTTTAACTAATAAAAGGCGGTAAAGTTTTCCTTAACTCTTTTTTCTTATCTTTGTATAGTTTTTGTTACCGTATTTTTTGTTCCATAAGACGAACCTGACCATAAGACGCACCTAGGTTTTAGTGGAGGAAAGCAAGAAAAAAAATATTCTGAACCAATGGACTGCAGACATAGTACAGGAAATGACCAGAGACTGTGGACATAGTACAGGAGATGACTAGAGACTGCGGACATACTACAGGAGATGACCAGAGACTGCGGACATAGTACAGGAGATGACCAGAGACTGCGAACATAGTACAGGAGATGACCAGAGACTGCGAACATAGTACAGGAGATGACCAGAGACTGCGGACATAGTACAGGAGATGACCAGAGACTGTGGACACAGTACAGGAGAAGAACAGAGACTGTGGACACAGTACAGGAGAAGAACAGAGACTGCGGACATACTACAAAAGATGACCAGAGACTGCGGACATAGTACAGGAGATGACCAGAGACTGCGGACATAGTACAGGAGAAGAGCAGAGACTGCGAACATACTACAAAAGATGACCCGAGACTGCGGACATAGTACAGGAGATAACTAGAGACTGTGGACATACTACAGAAGATGACCAGAGACTGCGGACACATTACAGGAGATAACCAGAGACTGTGGACACAGTACAGGAGAAGAACAGAGACTGCGGACATAGTACAGGAGATGACCAGAGACTGTGGACATAGTACAGGAGATGGCCAGAGACTGCGGACACAGTACAGGAGATAACCAGAGACTGTGGAGACAGTACAGGAGAAGAACAGAGACTGTGGAGACAGTACAGGAGAGGAACAGAGACTGCGGACACAGTAAAGGAGATGACCAGAGACTGCGGACACAGTACAGGAGATGACCAGAGACTGCGGACACAGTACAGGAGATGACCGGAGACTGCGGACACAGTGCAGGAGATGACCGGAGACTGCGGACACAGTACAGGAGATGACCGGAGACTGCGGACACAGTACAGGAGATGACTGGAGACTGCGGACACAGTACAGGAGATGACCAGAGACTGCGGACATAGTACAGGAGATGACCGGAGACTGTGGAGACAGTACAGGAGAAGAACAGAGACTGCGGACACAGTAAAAGAGATGACCAGAGACTGTGGAGACAGTACAGGAGAAGAACAGAGACTGCGGACACAGTAAAGGAGATGACCAGAGACTGCGGACACAGTATAGGAGATGACCAGAGACTGCGGACACAGTAAAGGAGATGACCAGAGACTGCGGACATAGTGCAGGAGATGACCAGAGACTGCGGACACAGTACAGGGGATGACCAGAGACTGCCAACATAGTACAGGGGATCACCAGAGACTGCCGACATAGTACAGGAGATGACCAAACACTGCAGAGCTTTGGGGAGCAGAGGAGGGGGGAGCGGGTACCAAAATTTGAGAGGTCCCCGCTCCCACTTCTGCAGAGTTGTCCTCCCTCCCTGTCTTCTGGGACACGTGACAAGTCCCAGAAGACTGCTGGACCATTCACAAAGTGCAGTGCTTCTCGGACATGCGCAGTGGGCACCCGGATGTGAAGCTGCAAGCTGTCACAGCTGGGTGCTCACACTAGAGATGCCGGCACCGGGGAGAGAAGATGGTGAGGATAGTGCTGGACCGAGGAACAGGTAGGACCGAGGAGCACAGTAGAGGCGAGCTGCTGGCCCGGTATTCTAACACGGCGGTGGCGGGAATTCCAGGCCGGCCGCTCCATATTCACTCCATAAGCCGCACAGGCATTTTCCTTAATTTTTTTGAGGAAAAAAGCGCATCTTATGGAGCAAAAAATATGGTATACATGGTTTGGTACCTTACAAAACCACATTAGCTTTTTTGGTTAGGGTTTTATTTACTGTGTTTCAAATCAGGGGTGTGGTACTGTCTGGGAATGTGCATATCTATGCACGTGTGCAGAACCCCTGTTAGACCTGCTCGTGGCCGATTGGCGAATGCGTGTGATTGATCGCGCACACAGGTGCGCGCAAGTGCGCATGCGCGATGGCATATTGGCGCTAGGTGGGCTATTTAAGCCTTGCATTAGCGGTGGTTTTATACTTCAGAGCACCCGTGTATCCTGTTACTTGTGATTCCGTTGCTGATCTGATCTGTTATTGACCCTGCTAGAACGCTGCTTGCACCAACCCCTGGCTTGCCCTTTGACTATTCTTTTGCCTGCCGTTTCTGCTTACTCTGCCTACTAGTTGCTGAGCCAGACTGCCTGACCTTGCTTTACTCTGATCGTGCACCTGAAGCGGCTTATCCTTGCCACTATCCTGCTTCTGTACTTCTGCCTGAGTGTCATGTGCCAAGCAGTTCCTGCACCTCTGCCAGTGTGCCATCCACCAGCTGCTCCTGCATTCCTGACGCACGTCAACATCCACCCGCAGAAGTCCTAACAGGAACTCGTGCACCTCTAGATCACCAGTGAAAGTATCCTCCATTCTCCCTTTGATACAAATATGCCTGTAAATTCTTTTATTGTGGTTGTTAAGTCACATACATAGCTAGATTGCATTTCAATGTATTCAATGTGATTTGTAGGTAGTTGTTTTCAAAATTGAGCCCTTCTGGAATCCTCATTCTCAACTTAAAGATCCAGTGCACTTGTCAGGAATGGACTCGCCAATGGTGGTGGGACTCACCTGCCTTGTGGGCTGCAGTACCAGGGCTGGCCAGCGGGTGCTCTCAGCAGCCAGAAGCTCACTCCTGCAATCAAGCCATCACCTGAGGCTGATTGCAGGAGGTGTATTTAAGGAATGGCCAGGCCTGCAGTCAGGGCCTTGGTGTATTGTTCCCATGAGCCCCTGTACCTGCATCCTGTCTGCTTCCTGCCTGATCCTGACTCTGCTTGATCCTGACTCTGCTTGAACTCTGCCTGCACCGACCTCAGCTACTCCTGACCAATCTTCTGCCTACTCCTTGTACCTTGTCTGCCCGTTAGCTACCGACCCGGCCCGCCTGACTACGTTGTTCTCTCTTTCTCTCTCTCTATATATATATGTATATATCTCAGTTAAGGTTTGGGTTTGTTGCACCTTGTTGTACGTATTTGTGTTTAGTTTTGGGTTTGGTTTGTTGCACTGCGTTTTATGTTTGTGTTGCCCTTAATAAATTATATTGTTTTACACGTTATACCTGAAGTCTGTTTCCCTGTGTCGTTCCACACACCTCTGGTCATACCCAGAGCCCTGACAGCACTTAATGCACACATAGCAATCTAAACACATCCCCTCCTTTTTTCACGGGGACAAATTTCTCGATTCCTTGTATCCTTGTATTGTTGTGGAATCACCTCCATGACATTCATTAAAATGACGTGCTACACTGGTGTCGTGTTTTTTACTGTATCTAATACATAGTCACGGAGGTGATCCCACAGCCTCCTCATAGTCCTTCCCAGATATGGAACTTTGCAAATGGCTAAAGTGACCAATTACACCACATTTTTCGTGTTGCAATTCAAGGATGAATGAATATCAGATTTTCTCCCACCCTCAGTGGGTTTAAACCGATCATGCTTTATAATCCTGAAGCAGCATGGACAACCAGCTTCGCCACATCTATAGTTACTCTTGAATTGCAACCAACTAGAACCACCCTTTTTTAGGAGAAGAGAAGTAATTTGGTGACAAATACAGTCCCAAAGATGGAACATGTCGCAACACTGTCTTGATTCCCCCCCTTCAATATTCTAGCATAGATTTCAACCTTATATAAAACTGGATTATACCTTTCCACTTGGCCATTAATTTTTTTCATCTTAGCATATTCTAAACTAAAGAGGGGTGGAAAAGACAGGTAAATTGTGTTACTCGTTGGCCACTAATTTTTCTTTTAATAAAGTGTCCCTTGGAATTGCCTTGGGTATCCATAACATCCTATTCACATCTTGTTCAGACCTTGTTAAAAAGAAATGCTGGCACGTGGTCCCAGCATCATATGTAAACTCGTTTTCTCTAGAGCATATTTTGCACACCCTCAACAATTGGCCAATGGACATGCCCGGGTGGCCCGAATCAGCTCTTAGGACCGTATTACCTGAAAGGGCTTCCTGAATAGGTTAGCGTGAACACTATTCTGGCAATGCAGCAATATTAAATCCAAAAACAGAACAGAATGGTCTCTCATGTATCCTGTGAAACGTAGATTTAGATTGTTATTTAAAGTGTCACAAAACACACATCATAAAAAAACTAACTTTTATGTATTCTGCAAAAAAAAAACCTGGTTGATCCTGCTGCTTTCTATCTCTACCTTCTGTTCATGTGCCCAATTCAGCTAGAGACTTTGCGGCTGTAGAGGCAACTCTGTGCATGCTCAATATTCAGTGAGTTTCTATGCTGAGCATTTGGTGGTCTGGAGAGTGGTCTGTATTAAAGTCGGCGGCACATGGGTGATTTTGTCTTCACAGATATTCTGATTACTGAAGAATATTACAGAGCACAGAGCACTGTGCTTTTTTATGGACACTAATAATGGACAATTTATAATCATTTTTGCATATGTTTAAATTATATTGTTTTTGGTGTTATACACTAAAACATCGGGTAATTCTGTAATAATAACTTTTTGTAGTAAATAAGTTTGGAAAATTTTAATCACTTGCCTAGTGCAGCTACATTGGGATATTCACTCACCAACCTCTTTATTGGTTGCTTGGTAAAATAAATTACTAATCAGCCAATTACATGGCAGCAATTTTTAGGCAGGGTTTTTTTTTTTTTCTGGAACACCCCTCCAGCACCAATGCCAGGGAACAGAACTTTTTTTTTTCAATTTGTTTAATGCTGCAGTCCTGCAAAGTCAGCAGGCGGCCGCATAAGCCGGCACAGCTCCTATAGTTCCGGCTGCAGCTTTAAGAGAGTGTAAGGGGGGGTGATATCTGCTGCATTCCGCTTCTCCCTATAGCCGACCAGATGTTCCTTTCTTGGTGCCAGTGGCAGCTGTGAGGATGAGCTGCCGTGCAATGTTCTATCCTGTCCTGAGACTCCTGACTGCTCACTGCTTGATGAGAATAAGTACAGTGCTTTTAATAGTTTATTGGTCAGTGTTGCTGCTGGATGGATACAGGGGCTGACTTGCTGTCTGTTATGGGACTGTCTCTTGCTGGATATTGGGGATGTCTCTTGCTGGAAATATGGGGATGATTCTTGCTGGATATATGGTGCTGTCTCTTGCCGGATATATACCGGATATATAGGGATGTCTCTTGCTGGATATTGGGGATGTTTCTTTCTGGATATATGGGGATGTCTCTTGCTGGATATATGGGGCTGTCCCTTGCTGGATATATGGGGATGTCTCTTGCTGGATATCGAGGATGTCTCTTGCTGGATATGGGACTGTCTCTTACTGGATATCGAGGATGTCTCTTGCTGGATATATGGGGCTCTCTGTTGCTGGATATATGGGAATGTCTCTTGCAGGATATTTGGGCTATCTCTTGCTAAATATGGGGCTGCCTCTTGCTGTATATTATAGATGTCTCTTGTTGGATATTGGGGAATTCTCTTGCTGGATATTGGGGGTGTCTCTTGATGGATATGGGGCTGTCTTTTTTCTGGATATATGGCCATGTCTCTTGCTCAATATGGAGATGTATTTTGCTGGATATGGGGCTGTCTCTTGCTGGATATATGGGACTGTCTGGATGGATATATGGGCCTGTCTCTTGCTGGATATGGGGCTATCTCTTGCTGGATATATGGGCCTGTCTCTTGCTGAATATGGGGCTGTATCTTGCTGGATATGGGACTGTCTCCTGCTTGATATATGGAGTTGTCTCTTGCTGGATATGGGGAGGTCCCTTTGCTGGATATGGGGAATGTCTCTTTGCTGAATATGGGCCTGTTTCTTGCAGGATATTGGGGACTGTCTCTTTGCTGTGTATTGGGAACTCTCTCTTGCAGGACAAGGACCTGTCTCTTTGCTGGATATTGGGCTGTCTCTTTGCTGGATATGGACCTGTCTCTTTGCTGGATATGGACTAGAAGTGCCTCTGAGCTTACTTTGCTAAATGCTGGATATTTCTACTGTTTTGTACATTTTACTCCATTGCTTTTTATTAACATCTTCCATACAAATTATGTGTATAGCCCCCCCACATTATACTTGGTTCCCTGATCTCTAAAGGGGGTGGTGCTAGGAAGTGTGTAGGGGTGAATACAAGGGGTGATTCTAGGGGTGGGTAGGGGGCAGAGAGGGGCATGACTTAGGTGAGGGGGGGTGAGTTCCTGTACCTTTTCTGTGAGAAAAAAAGCCCAGTATTTAGGCATGT